CTACCCGGATTCGAACCCGGGACCTTTGAATGAGAGGCCAACACCTTAACCTCTAGGCCACGAGAGCCCCTTTTTTAAAGATAGAAAACGGGGCGCTGATTTTTTTCAGTCTTTTTTTCCCTTTTTCTTTGTAGCCTCTTTCTTTAAACAATCTACAGAATACACATGTAATATTTTTCCGGAGAAAAACTTGTTTTAATCACATATTTGAGGGATCTCAAGTGTGCCTACGAGATTTTCAAACGCTGACTTCTGAAAGGGCGTTGAAAATGTTCTATTGTACTTTTATGTATGCTAAATTTGTGTCCTTGGAACCCTACCTGCCAGTTTTCTTACCGTCTTCACAGACGCCATTATTATCTCGTCCGACGTCACTCCATATAACATTTCCACATCGCAAAAATAATCAAGCAGCCAATTTCTTTCACGCACCTGTGTGCCAGTTCCACCATTACCATCGATGTGTCTTCTCTTATGATAAATATGTGCCAATAGCATCATGTTATATTTAAGGTACGGCTAAAATGTTCCACGTCACTTTACCAATATTTACTTAACAAGAGAACTTCACTTAAAAGAATGGGCTGCTGGAACATCACAAACGTACTTTACTAGAAAAATCTGAGAATCGCTTACTTCCAACTACAACCATATCTGGCCCATCTTCCAGACCCGCTATTGCAAGAATTACCCAGTCATGTACATAGAAGGAATTTTGAAAGGGTTGTGTACCGACAATGTAACTAGCGAGAGGCACTTCGAGTCTGGACCCTTACACCATGTACCGTCCTTTTCATCTTTTCCTCTCTCCCTCCAGCCAGTTGCTGAATTCTGAAATAAGCATTGACTCAGTTCCTAAAACAGTGCTCAGAGAAGTGCAGTGTTTGACTGAGATCAGACATTTGTTTGTACTAACTTTATTCAATAGTGTTCTGTTGTATACATTGCATTGTTTCTGATTCAATATCTGACCTTGATTTGCTTGGGGCAGCATCGTTAATATAACTAGTATGTACATAATAATTAGTTTAAGTGGACCGTGTGCACAAGGGCTGTACGTGTGGTTGTGTGTGTGGTTGTGTGTGTGTGGGGGG